GCCCAGTTTCCATCTGAGTTAAGGACCCACCCAGCCTCACCTAAGTCCTGGGCTGTGAGGCTTCCACAAGGAGAAAGTTCAACACAAACCGAAAACAAATCCCCAGGGTTTCCTAAGACTACAAACTTGGAGTGGGTGGGTAGGGCTCAGCTTGAACACAATACCTGATAAGGAGCCTGGAAATTGTTGGGCCTCCACCCTGGCTCCTCTTCCGTACCCGCCTATTCCTTGGTGTACAGGCAATGAGGCAAGGCAGCTGTGGCCTTGTGCCCACTTCCCACTGCCCAGCTCCTGCCCACCTTGCTGTAGGTGACATTACTGGCCCCTCTCATTTAGAGGCTGGATCCTAAAAAGGCTTTCACTTTCCCTGCTGGAGTTTCATTAAGGAAATTCCTGGTTCCTCATGTAGCCTTTTAAAAACTCATTTTCCATTGAGCATGGAAACTGCTGCAAAGTCTCCAGGGAGGTAAGAGATGCAGGGCTGTCCTTGTGCCAGGCCTCCAGCAGTTAACTAACAGCCTGCACTCAGGGACTCTGTTGATGGGAGAACTCAGGTGACCAGTCTTGACCTTTTTGCCTCAGGGAGGAACCTGAGTGCACCCTGATTCAGTCAATAGAATATTTCACTGCCAGGAGTATCCCACTGGGCAGAAAGGGGTGACCAGAACAAGGGGACAGTTGTGGACTGACAAGATGCCAAAGTGACTGGAGGCAGACACTTGAAACAAAGTCTAAGTGTCTGCCACCAGATGGAGAGGACTGTACTAGGGACACCTGAAGTACAGATTGACAGAGGGCAAGGTGTGCTCTGTTCTCACAGATAAAGGTAGAGAAGAATGACGTGTAGAACAGCAGCTTGCTCTATGGACATGATCTCATCTGCCCCTTCCGTCCCGTCCCCCCCCCCCAACGCTCCAGCTGATAAGAATCTGGTGCTGTTTCCTGTAGTCCAAGGGTCTTAGACAATGGTGTGAACAGCTGGCTCTACTGGAAAGGACATTGTTCAGGGAAGAAAAAAATAACACACCAGCACAAAGCCAGGGCAAGATCTGTCTAAAAGCAAGGCGCTGTTTACAAATCCATGATTTCCAAGGGGAGAAACACAATAGAAGATTGTTTTGTTGAGGCTGATGTCCCCTCCAGTATGCTCCTGGGGGCTGGGGATGTCTTTGATGGCCTAGACAGGTCTCAGATGCTCTGAAAGGGATGAACAGTGATGGCGTGGATGCCTTCCTGTTTATCAGGGATGCATGCAGGGCAGGGTCAAGAAGCCAGTTTACACCAAAGACTCCAGGCAGGGCTCCCAGCTGCACTCCTTCCATCTGGGTCTCATGCTGTCATGTTGCTCAGGGATCCCAGGCTAGAGGGAATTTCTAGGGAGAAGTGAGGGCAAGGTTTTATTAAAAATATCAACTCTTCAGATTATGGCCTCCAATTGTCATGTTGTTTTTAGAAAAAAATGTATAAGGCATGAGAGCCTTGCAAATGGCCAACTCCTTTGGAATAAGGTTCCCTGGCATAGTCACTAGAGAGCTTTCTCACATCTGGGTGCCCCCAGGATGCTGTGACTCCCCACCAGCCAGCCTGAGAGCACATGGGGCTGGCACAGTGTGCCTGGGGTCAGGGCCAATGGAGGTGCTGTTTCTCATGACAACCTTCCCTGCCACGGTCCACAGAGATTAGAGCCTTTGAGCCACCACCCAGAGGCCCCAGTGGCAGTGAGTGTACTTTCATGTGTGCATGTGCCTATGCATGTGTATGTGTGTGTATACGCATGTGGTAGGAGGGTAGGGAAGAAAAGGAGCAAAGGATCCTATCACATATTTCCCTTGGTACTGGCAGTTGCCATTTTTAGTGGCGGTGGTGGAGAAGGCAGCTGGGTGGACCCTAGTGAGGCACTGGGAGACATTTTTGGTGGGTTATGAGGGCTACTTTGGGCCTGGAGAGACTATGAAAGTCTTGTCTGAGGATTTGACCTGTGTGGAAGTATAATTAGTGATTTTTCTATTCATCTCGAACTCCAACAGAAATACACTTTGTGAATAAACTTAAACATTTTCCTAAGCCATCCTTAACCTTCCTGCTCTGAGGGTTTATAAGCTTTCTAGGCAACATGCTAACAGTGCCCTCTGGTGTTTAGCAGCAAAACAACAGGCTCTTGAATACATAGTACCAGCGTCCATTGATT